TTTGATTGATTGATTGATTTAATATTAACATCGCACCGTTCAGCTACACGAGAGCTTTTGGCGACGGACCAAGTAATTTTGAACCATGGTCAAGTGACGTGGACGACACCTGAGATGGCACCCCCTCTCCTAACTACAACACCACTCCAACGGGAAGACGTTTCAGCTCTCGACAGATTTAACGTGCCTCTCTTCTCTATACGTTGGGTCTTTAGTGGTACTGGGTTCAAACTCGTGATAAGGCAGGCCACGACCCGATACCTATACCTCTCGGCTATATTGTGTGTATATATTTTTAAAATTATAATATACTAACGAATGTGTGGCGCAGTATAGCCAAACTTCGCTCTTGCGCCAAAAACACCAACAATCATCATCATCATCACCGCGGCCACAACATTCATTTGAACTGAAATTTAAAATATACGATTGTTTTTTGGATGACAATACGGTACTTTAATAATAATATAATTTAACTGCCACTTGCTTATTTCTGCCACATGTATATACTTATTTATTTTAATTGCAGTTATTTGATGAAAGGTAACTAAAATAAAAATTTTCTTTGCTGACCTAAGTAGAAATTGACTTTTAAAAACATTTCTTTTTTTATATTACTTGTTTAAAATTTTATTTTGTCTCTCTATGTAAAACTAAGAATGGTCCCATTACTTGGATTAATATCGCTGTAACTATTTTTTAACTATTAGAAACATACTTAAACATAAATACAATGTTAATATTTCAAATAAATATATATAATCTATAACTTTTAACTTATTGAAAGATTTTCAAACTTTCTTGAATATAAATAAGTATATAATTTGTTCTAGTTCCTTTTGAGATAGGTTTTTAAAGATAACGAAACTCACTCCTCTATACTTTTGTATCTTTAATAATTTCTATAACAGGTAGTTTGTCTCGTATCTTTTCAAAATGTATTCTTCGATCATCATTAAGTTTTATAAATATTTATCAAATTATTAAAGAAATATTTCACATAAGAGAATGAGAACATGTAAACTTAATATATAAACTATGTATATCTTAATATAGTAAAAGTAAAATTATGATATACACGTTATTAAGAAAGAATCATGAAATAAATTCATACTTCAAAAGTTTTTTGATTCTATCAAAGCATTGTGCGCAATTATCAATAAACTATAGGCATATCTATGAAACTAAAATTTTAAATTCAATAAACAATGTTTGATAGTGTAATAAAATTTAATCTGAAAGATATAAAATATTAAGCGTTATTTTTATAATCGATCATTTTGCATATATTTTATCAATTGGATATGTAAACAAATAAAGTTTTCCAATTTTTAAGAAGTTAATATTATTTTCATTGGTTTGTTTGAAATATTTTTTAAAAATTTTAGTTGTTCTGTGAATTTTTTACATTAATATTTAGTTATATTTAAGTAACAAATATATATAGTAATTCCATAAACAAAGAATCAGTCAAACAAATACAATCTCCCAAACACAGCATTTTTAACCCAAATTATCGTTATTCCAGCAGAAAATAAATTGTCAGATATCTATTAAAACGTATCACTTATTTAGAAACATTAGAGAAATTAGTAACGTATGTGAGTCAGTAAAAATAACATAAATTTTAATAATTTTTTTCATGTAATTTTTTTTTTGAGATTTTAAAATTCCATATTCTTTAATTATATCATATAACATATTTCCATATCATTGACATGCAAAAAGTTTGAGTGATAAAACCATATAGTTGCTCATTTTTCATTAAATGATATTTTAAAAATGAACAATTAACATATTCTATATTATTTTTGTATTTTCAGCTCAATATACAAATGAATATAAAGTTTAGTTACACCTAGGTATAAATCCATTAAATACACGCTTAAATAAATCGTGCATGCACATGAGAGAAAAAAAAGTTTCAGTCAATTATCATTCTCAAAGCAAATAGAAAAGAAATGAATTTATTTTATGTTCAATGAAACTTTACTTTTTAGAAGCTTACAAAATACTCGCCTATAAATTTTATACATAGAATTGAAAGTATACGTTAAAGGTTTTACTATATATTTGTGAAGATTGTAATTCAAAAATGAGTAAAAAATATATCTTTTAGATTTCTCTTGTTCAATTATTACTATTAGTTAACTCTCTTTCTATATTTATTAATTTATATATATATATATATATATATATCTTGTTCAAAATTTTTATTTTAAATAAAATACTTTTTATTCTTCCGCTGAAGTTCGAATGCATTTCTTAACTTGTAGTGTATGATTTTAATGCAGTTTTTTCAAGTATTTTAACTATAATTAATTATTTTTTAATTTTAAATTTATTCTGCATTATTTTTATGACGAAGTTCGAAATAGCATCAACAGATGGCACCAGTAAGATATTCTCACCAATTTTTTCTTGGTTTCAAATACATATATATTTTTTTAATTTATAGTGGTTGACACTTGATGTTAATACAGTTTTTTCAAATCATAACTCATTAACTGAATTTAATTAACTAAAATAAAAATTTTCTTTGTTGACCTAAGTAGAAATTGACTTTAAAAAATATTTGTTTATATTATACTCGTTATGACATACTGCGATTAACTTGGTTTACTTTACTTTGGTTACGTTAATTTAGCTTTCTTTACAGTTCCAAAAGATCGCTTTAAATACTCAAATGCATGTTTTAGTAGTATACTTTTAACCAATTACATTTTAGCCCTATATTATTTTTCCTCTACAATGCATTATATTTACACACAACATTTTAATATTTTTTTTTAAATCTTTGTAAACTATGAGATTTTTATAAAAAATTATAAGGGCAGGGATTCAAGTCAGGACTATGTCTTTGTCCGATCAGAAATTGAAAAGGGTGTTTTGAATCTAAGCTTAACCTAGCTTAAGGCTGTTTTCGGTAAAAATACGAGAGTTCTAACTAAACGCGAAGCACATTTTCAGACAGAAAAATGACCCAAATTCCATAGAAATTTGCAATAGCATAACTCGTACCTCTATTAACACAATACAGTGTTTTTAAAAATTTCAAAATATTCCGTAAATACTTTCTTTTAATACGTGAAAGAGCAAAGCCCATTTAACATCACGGTATTGGGAAAAAATGCGAGACACATTTTATACCAGAAAAAAGGAATCAACTCGGTTAAAAACGGGAAGTATGATAAAAAATACTGCTCTCTAAAGGATAGTAAATCCAGAATATCATATTAATTTTTCCATTTCTTTTATATCTGAAAAAATGTTCCAAATTCGTGTCCTATTCATTAACATTAACCGAAAAGAACCTTAAAAATTAAGGCTCACGATTATTCCATGTCGAACAAGAGGTGGGAAGGATACATTCTGCAAGAATTGAAATCGGACGTTATTTACTATGGATGAACTTCGCTGAATTTCAAAACTGCCGCTATTTACAATGCTCTACTGGCACGCGGGTTAGTTACAATGACTTGGCTTAAGTGTTCTGCGTTAAACTTTGAGCGATTTATTCCTTGCGCTATGTAAATATGAGACAACTTCTCTCAAAAGTCTTAAAGCAAAGTACCCTCCACTTCACCGAGTTACCCTTGGGTATTTATTATGAATAATTTTAAACAGTAGCTGCTGGCTCGTAAGAGTAACTCCAGTACAAAGTTATACAAAAAGTACATATTGTGTATTTGTAAGCACCAAAGACTGCTCTCGTGTACATCAAAACTCAACAATGGTTTAAAAAGAAACCAAAGTCAAAGAGGTTCCAGGTTTTAGAAGTTCAAATACATTGAACGTTAACAATTCCTTATTGAAACTCGGGGAATCTGATACCTGGGTTTCACTAATCATCTTATTGCAGTGCTTCTCAAAGTTTCAATCTTCGCGACCCAATATTCAATCATCATTTTCATCGCGCCCCCCTCTTTCAATAGCAATGTATTGATTCAATAATAATATTGTTTGATGCTAAGACTACGATATACGACTTTATCCTCTTAAGTGCCACCGGCATATATAAACGTCTAACTCAAGTGCGCTAGTTGCACCGGACGTATATGTACGTCTTTTTGAAGTACGATCTTTTCTGTGCACTGCTTTCCATAAAATTATTCCGAAAGCTTTGGAATTGAATAAAAGGACCTGGACAGTGTTTGCGTTGAATTTAGTTATTTCAGAGGCTCTTTTTTATTGGTTTTTTTTATTCCTTTTCTACACGTAACTTTTAACCAGCAGTTAAGGGAATTATTAAAAACAGTACAAATTATCAAGATAAGATCTAATTTTTGTATATAATTTTTATATGACAATCCCATAGGTTACCGGTAATTATTAAACTTGTTCTTAATTTTGTATTGGGAAATTAATTTTAAAATACATTGTGTAGCACTGATATATTTATAAGTGCAATACTCAATGGAAATGTGTATTTTATTTTTTATGCCAGAATGTATTTTGTTTGTTTACTTTTAGTAAATTAATAATTTTTTAAAAATAATATTTTGTTTTTGACTTTTCAATACGCTCGTGCCGCCCTTGTACAGTTGTCAAGCCCCACAACGGGGGTGCGCTTCACAGTTTGAGAAACGCTGATACTGAGATACTACTAATCTTAGTTAAAATTATTTGACAGTTTATATTTCTAAGGAACGTATAAGTAAAGTATGCTTAACAATGAAGTTACAAATAGAAAACGTTTCTTTTTGTATCTACATTGTTAATTCTTGGGCTTTCCTAATAACAAATATTCTCATTCAAAACCTATTATTAGTTCGCACTCTCCCTTTATATCTTGTTCAAATTTTCAATCTTTTATAAAATAAATTTATTCATCCAATCAAGTTCAAATACATTTTTTTAAACTTGTAGTGGATGACACTTGATGTAAATAGTTTTTTTTTCAAATATTAATTAATTAATTCTACTTAATTAATGAATAAATAGTAACTAGCAAAAATAATAGTCCAACCCCATATGTAGAAATGAAAATCGTTCGTTGTGTCCCTGTAGCACAAGGAATAGCGCCTTGGAATTCTTATCCGAAGGTCGTGGGTTTGAATCCCCCCTGGGATGGCCTAATTTGTGAGAATGTGGTTACTTTTCACTATACCATTTTATTGGAATATCTAAATTTATTTAATGAATAAATAGTAACAATCAAAAATAATAGTCCAACACCATATACAGAAAAGAAAATGAAAAATTGCAAGGAAAATCGCTTCCCCTATTTTATCACTTAATGGTATGTTTCTATCATATGTATATGCATATTTATATTATGCATATTTATATTATATATATATATATATATATATATATATATATATATATATATAATTGCAATTATTAAATAAAAAAGTAATAAATGAATTTTTTTCTTTGTTGACCTAAGTAGGAGAATTGACTTAAGTTTTTTTTTTATATTACTCGTTTTTTTTTAAACTTACAAAACCTTATTTTATTATTAATGTTAAACATTATCCTAATGCCAGATTAATTGATTCAAGATAAATATAAAGAATTTAAAGCATATGATATACCCACAAAGGGTTTTCAGTTTAAAATAGGAATATATACAATGTTAAATTGACAGCTTTATTGAAAAACATTTATTAAGATTTTTTTCTTGTAATTCTTTTTTTTTCCGGTGAACCCACGTTGAATTTTCAAAATTATATGTAAGCAAATGTACTAGGAACGCTTTATACATGTAAGAGATTAATATTGGGAAAACTTCTTATTTTGTTTACATACACATAACTAACCTCCATCGTAGCTAACATTATCTTAATTTGAAATATACTGAATTCAAATTTTAATATATATTTTTTTTTAATTTTGGCGAAGTTCTTCATTGCAAATTTCATTTATTTCTCCATTCTAATAAATTTATTATTTTCTTTATTAAATGGGCCTTACTGGGCTAATACATTTGAAGCTGAGAATTAATCAACTACCTAAAAAATTAATAATTATTTATACTTAGTTTTTTTGTCTATACTCTCTGAATGTCTAGCTTATTGAACTCTGAAACTACTTTTTATGGATATACTTGATCAAAAACAGCACCACTAAACTTGGATCGCAAAACTGAAACGAGGAAAGCATGTATTTAAAATCATTTTCTTTGAGTAAAATTCATGTTTGCTCTGTGTACGTAGAATAATTTTTGGTAAGAGATACCATATTTATGAATGTATAACGGGTGAGTGAATATTAACGTCGCCCTTTTCAGCTACTCTCGATTGTTTTTGGCGTTGGACCTCATAATTTTGATCACATTCAAGTGGCGAGGGTGAGAGTTGAGCTGACATGCCTCCCTCCCCTAACTTCCACACCACAGAACGTTTGAGTATCGACATATTTAACGTTCATTGTCGGCCTCTGGACGGCGGGTCTTCAGGGGTGCTATCAATGAATAGATTAGGAGATGTTTCATAAGTTAAAAAAACTTATTTGGAACAATAGATTTGTAAGACACACACAGAGATCTTGGAGCTTATGGTGATTTTGATAGTTAAGTATTTATTTTTTTATCATTGGAATATATGGAGATGCGCGGAGTCTAACAACACTTCAATATGGAACAAATTGCAATGGCGCACACAAAAAAGTTTTCATCCTTCACATAAGATTTTTCGTAAACTAAAAGAAACAGGAAGGATAAAAACCGACAAATGGTAACTGAAAAATGGAAAATGAGACTATTTGGTTTCTCTTGTAAAAATTTCTGTACTTCTTTATACATGTTCTTTTTAACATTGGAAATTGCTTTTAGGTTAGAAATCGGTTCTACTTTTCCCTTTCGACTTTTATATCACAGATATCCATTGCACATGCATAAGGTCAGGTAAAAGTCTCTTGCATTTCTAGGTGCAGTACATAAATTGTACAAAATCCGAGAATTTTAACTATATATGATCTTTTTAGATTAAAAAAGTTATTTTTAATTCAAAACCACACACATATCGTTAATTTTTACATTTTTTTTATGTATTCCATGTATGTTCTAGAAGCTTTAATTCGTTGCAAAGAATACCGATTTTATATATATATCTCTTTTCCATTTTATTTTTATATTAAGGTATCCGACTACGTTCGGAACCGTGATTTTAAAAAAAACGCATAAATGAATAATATTCATGATATTTAGTGTCATTTAGATTATACTACATGCATAAAATTGTTTTAAGGACATTTTGACAAAAAAATTTATTTAAATACAATATTTCGGCAAAAAATGAGCTTAGAATAACCTTTTTTCAAAATGTTCTCCTTTTGTGAAAACTACTTCTGTTATAATAATATTTTGCCTGTATATAGCTCAAAGTCCTCTGTACAGAGGCTCAACTATGATTTTTGAAAAATTCATATTATTTTCCAGAGTTACAACCAATTGAAATAATTATCAGCGTTTTTTTTTCTTAAAATGTTTCCCCTGTGTTGTCGTAAAACATGGATAAGCCCAATTCTGAGCTATATATTTCAAAAATTCTACTTGAGCCTCTGTACAGAGATCTGAGCCATATATAAGCAAAATACTATTATAATAGAAGAATTTTCCTCAAAAGGAGAATATTTTCAAAATGGGTCATTCTATGTTTATTTTTTGTCAAAATCTTATACTTGAATAATTTTTTATTGTAATACTATTCTTAAAACAATTTTATTTACATTTTCTAATCTAAGAGACACTAAATATCATAAATATTATCCATTTATACGCTTTTGCAAAATCACGGCTCCAAAAGTAGTCGGATACCTAAATATTAAATGTCTGATAAATTTTCATTTAATACTTTTGAGTGTTTCCTGTTAAAATAAGTAATTCGTACACTTGTTGAGATAAAAAAATATTTAAGTCGGCAATTCCCTTGTAGGATAGATTTGTTTTTAATGTTAAAGAATATGTAGCTCTCCAGACATTTCTCCCTGATAAAGGAGAAGTACAATTTTACATAACACATATTTACTTCTTTACAACATAAAATAGTTCGTTTCTCTAGTTTAAATATTTAAACCGAGATTTGCAAAGATTTATGCAAACTGGAAAATATCCCATCTCGTTTAAAATATTATCAAAAGTTATGAAAGTACTTTTGTTAAAAACAAGTAATATAAAACAGTTTTTAAGTCAATTCCTACTTTTATAGATCAACAAAGAAACATTTTATTCGAGCTACTTTTTATTAAATAGTTACAATTAATATATATATGTATATACGATGTATGTAAATTAAGTAAGAAGACTGGTAGCATAGTGTTTGATTTGGCAACACTGGGAAAGTGGGACATGGAGGGGAGGTAGGTAAACATGCGACACGTTATTAGTATGAGTTTGAAGTCGCTGAGTCAAGTTAATTGTCTGTAGTGATTTGTTTAGTGAAAAAGGTTTTTCTTGTGAGTTCTGAAATGAGTGACAATAATTTCGAGCAACGATGTGCTATCAAGTTTTGCTTCAGACATGAGCACAATGCAACGGAAACATTTGCAAAACTTCAGCAAGCCTACAGAGACAGTGTTATGTCAATGGCCCAGGTTTTTCGATGGTTTAAGGCATTTTCAGAAGGAAGAGAGTCAATTGAAGTTGAGCCTCGCAGCGGAAGGCCCTCAGTTACAAAAACCGCTGAAAATGTCGTTAGAGTACGGGATCTTGTGCGTTCAAATCGTCGCTTGACAGTCAGAATGATTGGGGAAGAGTTGAATTTGAATCTAACCACCGTTCATCAGATTTTGACCAATGAATTGAAGATGAGAAAGATCTGCGCCAAAATGATTCCGAATAACCTGTCACACAGCAATTTCAGTGAACCGTTTCTTAGCCAGTAAGAACATTCCTGTGGCTCTTCAGCCCCCTAATTTGCCGACTTGAGTCCTTGTAACGTTTTCCTCTTTCCGAAATTGAAGATTCACCTCAAGGGACATCATTTTGAGATACTGGAAAACATTCAAACGGTTGTAACCGATCAGCTGAAGGACATTTCAATATCCGAGTTCCACCGGTGCTATGAGGAGTGGGAGAAACGTCTCCAGAGAGCGCTGTGTGGCTTCAAAAGGCAGTTACTTTGAAGGAGACAATGCTGAATGGTATGTTTATTGGAATAAACAAGTGAAAAAAATCAGTCTCATTATTTAATTTACACACCTCGTATATATGACAGAATCATAACATTAAGTTGTAATTAGTTTTTATTAATTATCATTAAAGTATAATACTGTCATCCAAAACAACCGTGTATATAAAATTCAGTCCAACTGAATCCTTTAAAACGTGAGAAAAAACATTTTCAAATTTTGACTCAAGTTGCCAATAGGGTCGCTAAGTCGCCAACGTGGTTGTATTTGTAATTATTTTAATAGTTAGTTTTAATCAATTAATTTTTATTAATTATAATAAAATTATTGTATTGTCGTCCAAAATAATAATGTATATTAAATTTCAGCTCAATTGAGCGCTTTAAAATGTTTTTATTAACGATTGAAAATTCCACCAAGATAAATAAATAAATAAATAGAGAAAGTGAGTTAATAGAGAAGAAATTGAAAAATAGACGAGCATTTTTCATTTTTAAAATTTTTTACTTTATTTCATAGGAAACAAACTCTGAATAGTTTTTCCCTTACTGTAAGTTTTTTCTTAAGTTTCTAGTTATATTAACAAATAAATAAATAACATTTTGGAGAAAGTTAGCATTCTAAGTATGAAAAGTATCAGTGCAGAAATAATACAAAGCAATCCTGTTCTCTGATTATATTAGATGTCGAATTAATTATTCATAGTTTTCTTTTTTGATTTTGGTAAGTATCATATACTAATAAATTCATAATAAACCGAATGACACTGTATGGTAGAAAAATGCACGAGTTTATGCATTAACTATAGAAAAATGTCAAAACAAGTAATTTAAAAAAAAAAGTCAATTCATACTTAAGCCAAAAGATAAACATTTTATTTTAGTCAATTTTTATTAAATAATTTCAATTAATACAAATATGTATATACATATGAAAAAATCACAATATTAAGTGACAAAACAGAAGGCGATTTTCCTTACAGTTTTCCATTTTCCTTT